TTTTTGATACACTGTGGTTAAATTCGTAATAATAGCTCCGTAATCCTGTGGGTTTAGCAGCATTTTTTTTTTTGGCCGATTTTTTTTTTTTCGCCCTCTCGCATTAGTTTTAGGGTCTTCAGAGGATGTCATCCATAAAATTAAATCAGTGTGGTCTAATCATGAAGTCAAAACAACAAGGCATTACTAATGACATTCTGTTAAACAAGATGACCGCAAGTCAATCATTTTGTATTTGATGGTGACAAAAATGTGTGTTTGTTCAATATGATGTCTGATGTATCTGTGAACTTTGTCGGTCCAGGCACGGCCACCAGACAGCCATTTTGAACCAAGTTTTGAAATATTAAAATATTGCATCAAGCAAGGTCTTATTATGTGCATCGTATGTACCAAGTTTTAATTGAATTAATCCATGCATGATTGAGATCCAGTCGGAATGGCGAAAATGTGCAATTTTGAAGATTTTCGGGCATAAAATGACTACCATTCAGCCATCTTGAAGTGGGTGATGAAATACATTACATTTTTCACTGTAAACATAACATGTTTTTCAGAACATAGGAAAAAATTCCTATATGCACAATTTATATACTCACCTGATTACCAAATCTTGCCAACTGAAGCATTGTTTATCAAGATTTTCCCAAGTGAAGATAAATATGTTTGTAGTATTTTAGCTAATTTTGTATTCAGATTCTAACGTTATTATAGATCAGTTGTGTTATTTTATGTTTCTTTTTTTTCTTTTGTACATTTTTCATTTTTTTTATTTATTTCATTGTTATTGCTTTTAACTGATGAAAATTTAATTTCAAGGATGCAATAAAATTTATTATTATTATTATTAAATCCAAACAAAATCACTCTACGATAGTTGCATAGATTCTATGATTAATAATCACTTTAGCTTTCATTTGTATTGTGTGAAAAAATATGAAAAAGAATTATTTATCAACAGGAAAACTTAATTTGATGTTGGCAGCCATCTGCTAGGATTGATCATTTGTAATCATGGGGAGAGGGTGGCTGGGAGGTTTGTTAAAAACAAATTTGCCAGCTATACACCGAAAAATGTATATAATGTTGCGGAGAAACTCATGAAAACAAAAAGGAAAAAGGTTGACCAAAAAAGATGATTATACCCCTTCCAGACAATTGTATCCCGCCTGCTGCAAAACACGGCAGGATACTTCTAAAATACTTTTAATTCGCTCTTACCTTTTAATAAAGCCGATAATGGCCGTAAATTATGACGACGGAATATTGCAAAATTCACATTTGACGGGCCTGCCATCGCTGTCATCACAAAAAGATTTACATCCGGGTTAGGTCAAGGGTCATATAGGTTATAAATAGTTTGGTTTGGTGGTCATGCGCCCTCCTGCGGTAACCACAGGCCGTGATTACTACATAGACCACTTTCCCGAGAGAAAGCACAAAGCACAGTAAAATATTGTAATTTTACCATATTTAGATCAACCAACTACTTTGTGAAGTATTTGAACACTTTTGAATCATTCTCCAGGTCGAAAGTCATTGACATACCAATAGATCACTTACCCAGAAGTCGAAGATCGGCGTTTCGCATGCGAGCGCATTCCGTTTTGGGGTGTAATGTAAATTTGCACGCGTGATATTGTGCTCCTGGGTGTACCATTTGACGTCACAAAAATAGAATTCCCTCCTATCGACTATCAGCAATCTGACATGTTTCTATTTTCTGCCGTGACAAAGCAGAAGTAGTTTTGCACCCCAGTTTTGCTAATTACGGGAAAGTGGTATATTTCACCGTATGTGATTTATTGATTTGAATGATTCAAAAGTGTTCAATTTTAAATACTTCATAAAGCAGTTGGTTGATCTACTAAATATGTTAAAATTACAATGTTTCACTGTGCTTTGTGCCAATTCCGATAAAGAACTACATTTTCATGGACCGATCACTGGGCGTAAATATTTTCCCCGGGAGATTTCAAAATGGCAGCCTCCGACCAAGACAGACATTGCTGCATCCAGTCCGAAGC